AAATATTTTAGAGTTGTTCAAAGATGTTTACAAAGACAACAGATGTTATGTGCAGAGTATAACAATAATAATTGGAGAATATATGTTGTAGTGATCGGAAGTGAATACCTCAATGTAATGAGTGACTATAACTAGTCTTCTACTATTCATTATACGTAAAAATATCAGTTAAAAACCGTTTTCTGACCAATCAAAAGTCTTTACTCACATTGTACTGATATAAAAATAAATAATTAATAACAAGGAGACCAATATTTCACCATCTCAAAAAAATAGGTGTATATTCAGAATTGCCAGGACACAAAGTTTTATTTTGATTAACCAATCAGAAAGAATGCTTTCACAACCAGGATATAAAAAATAGACAAATAATAACAAGGAGACCATCTCTAAAAATAAATGTATATTCAGAATCACCAGGCCTCAAAGCCATATTTCAACCAACCAATCAGAAAGCTTTCACAACTAGGATATAAGACTGCAAGCCAATCAGAAGAAAAGTGGCACTTTCAATATGGATTTCTGGATATGTATATAATGAGATTGAAAATCAACATTAATCAGAATTGATAAGTAAATTTTATCCATTCTCTGATGCTGCAGTCATTGTAGCATAACCAGAGCTGAAATGCAATAATTGCACAACGAGCTGGTGACCTGAGACATCTACAGTCTTGCTACATTTGAAAACATACATCCTTTCTTTCATTGCCTGTTAAGCAGGTGGCTGCTACATTAAGATACATACATATATAATTACATTATTTCTCTCATACTCTCTCCTGTATGCACCCACAAACCCTCCATAGCATATCAAAAGAAGATTCATGGGACTCACCTTCTGAATATAAATTGACCCTTAAAGTAGACAATAACCAGAAGGGCCTTTGGTTTTTCTCACATTTGGCACTGAAAACTACTTCACTCAGACAATTGTTATCAACTAGAATGATTACATTGATTCAAATGAACAGCCACTTATCTAGCTCTTTCTATATAAATGCATGTTCCCCCTCAGGGCTTTAACCTCAAGCTTACTTTATTCTTAATTTTTACCAATGACATTCCTGATGTCATTAGTTCTTGACTCAGCATCCATGCTGATGATATAACTATTTACTCCTGTCTATTAAATCTGACAGGTTTGGTAAAGTCAAATTGGCAGATAATCTTGAAAATGACTTTAAATCTCATTAACTGTAACAAGAAATGGCTTGTTAATTTTAATGCCCCCCCCCCCCCAAACTAAACTGCTCTCTCTTAGAGAGTCTTTTTTGCTTTCCCTCAGCATGACTGTGTTTCACAGTCTAATGTTTTCCACTGCAATGACTTGGAATGGTTCTATCAAATCAATTGTTAAGTCTACTGCTAAGAAATTTGGTTGACTGCATTGTGCCAGACAATTTTTCTTGCCCAACTATCTTGAGCCTTTATAACTTTACCATTATTCTGTGCATTGAATATGGTTGCCACATCTGGTTTGGTCTGGTCTGGTGCTTCTACTATGTATTTATAGATTCTGAACAAAATCCAAAGAAGAATATGCAATGTTATTGGTCCCGACCTGGCATCTTGGCTTCAATCACTTTCCCACTGCCATAATGTAATTTCCCTCTGCCTTTTCTATAAATATTTTCATGGTAATTATTCTGATGAGCTATCCTGTTTGGTAACTTCAACTTCGCAAATTTACATGCAGTACTAGCTTGGCAGATAGCAATTTCAACAGTAAAATGATGAAACCTAAGCGTAACCATAAGTTTATTCTTGTAGTTTCTTCTTTTCACATTCTCTCCTGTGGAATGCTTTTACAGCTTCTTGCTTTACTGTCAAATACAATTTAAAAAAATTTAATGCAGCATCAATTGTCATATGTCTCCTTGAATCCTGTTCTTTTTGTTGTCCTTTCTTCTTAGTAATGCTTTTTCAGTTTCCTTCACTCTCAATAACTCCTTGCATCTTAGAGGCTTTATCACCTTGCATGGGCCAAAATCATTAAAAAAACAAAAAACAAAAGCAGGACATAATACTATAGTTAATTTCACTAGCACACTTGTGTGTGTGTGTTTATATATATATATATATATATATATATATTAATAAATACACATAACTACATTTATAGTGCGACTTAGTTTCATGGTTTCCCAAGTCATCAGGCACAAATAGTAAATGAACCACTTAATACAATTGTTTTTCAAAAAATACTGGGTCTCATAAGAGTAACACTATATGCAGATTCAAAGTTCAAATATAAACTTTTACACCACAAATTAAATTAATATTTATTTGCTTATCTGAGCATGCACACTATTGCACGCATATACAGTTGCTAATATCTTGTTATTTAGTTTATATTCACCTATATATATATATATATATATATATATATATATATACACACACACACACACACACACACACACACACACACACACACACACAACGTCTGGACAAAAAATATCTGTTGCTATGATAATGAGGTTAAAGCTTGCAGAGGGAAGTTGCTTGTCCCAAATTGACCTTGAAGCCTGTCACATATACACACTGTTATAATGTTCTCACTCACCTGTTGTTTATAGCAGTGTTTTGAAGGAAAGTGTGTAGAGTGTGGTAGTCTCACCACACCATGGAAGTTCCATTAGTAACCATAGATTGTACAGCAGTTTCTGGCCCAGAACATTCTCCAGGTTCAACAATCACCATATTTCACAGATTTTGCTTATTGCAGCTCTTCTTCAAAAATCAAATCCCACTTGAAAGGAACAAGATTTCAAGACATCAAGGAAATCCAAGGAAGCTGCTTACTGTCCTAAAAAAGGAGTCTCAGGAATGATTCCCTGAATGGAAATGATGCTGGATAAAGTGTGTGGCTTCAGATGAGAACTATTTTGAAGGAGATTAAATTCTAAATTGTTATGTGTTGTAGTTTTCTTTTTATAACACCAGACCTGATACTTTTTGATCAGACATATAATTAAGTATATATCAAATTATAACTTAAAAAATTGTTCTCTCTATATATACACAGAATAATTGTCTCAGTATTTACTAATACAATTTTGGAGATATTATTCAACCCAATACCTGCTCATGCATGTAGAACTAAATCAACATTCTCATGAATATGTGAATATAAAGGTTTAGTACAGTTTCTTTGGTGATTTTTTTTTTTTATTATTATTATCATTTCACCCTAAACAAGAAAATAAAGCCACTAAGATGCAAGGGGGTTAGGAGTTTAGGAAAATATGAGAAAAATACTATTAAGGAAAGAGAACAATAAAAGAACAAGAATTAAGAAGACATTGCATTCACATTTATTAAGATCAAAGTTAACTGGAAAGTAAGAAGCTGGAAGAATGTTGCACAGATGAGAAATGCAAGCGAAGAAACTGTTAGCATAGAAGTTACGATTTACATCCATTATAAATGTAAAATGATGAGATCTAGCTGCCAATCTAGTACTGTGCTTAAATTCATAAAATGTAGATACCATAGAGAAAAGTTCATCAGAACAATTACTATGAAAATATTTATAAAAAAGACAAAGCAAAGTTACATTATGGTGGTGGGAAAATGACTGAAGCTGAGATGCCAGGTCAGGACCAATAACATTGCAGATTCTTTGGATTTCATCAAGTATCCCTAAATATATAAGTTTATAAATATCAGCTTAGCACAGTTTTTTCTATCTTGCCACCTGTGATTATTGTCAGGGGACAGTAATCTAACACTTTCTCAAAGCAGCTGAACATGAAAGATTTACCATCTCCCTTATAGTTGATTGTTTTGCAGTGTATTTCTACTCAGAAAAAAATCCTTCTGCCATTACCATTAACCTTTTGATTCTGAATAGGCCTATACTGACTGAGGTAAGCTTCTATCAGGCATCCTGATTTGAAAAAATTTGAGGATCACAGACTTAACTTCTGGAAAGACAATTGCATTACCTCAAAGAGGTTTCTAAGAATATGAAAAGTTAAGTGCTATACTAAAGTTTTCATTCTTTATATACATTTATATGAGTTCATTTGTACAATTTGGTGGTAAAAAAGAAATATAAAAAAACTGACAAAACAAACAACAAAATGTTAAAGAGATTTTTTATTTCAAAAATGTCTTTCACTTGCATAAAATCTGCATACCACAGTATGCATAAATTGTGTATATCCACCAGTACGGATATACTTATGTGAGTAAACTCAATAAAGACACACATATAGCAATAAACTTGGATATATACATAGGTGTGTGCTTGTGTGTAGTCATATATGTGCGTATGCATGTACATATATACATGCACACACCAATATATACGCATATAAATGATATATACACATCTATATATCTATATGCATATATATACAGTCCTTTATTTAAAACTGTATTCACATAACAGAGCTTCATACCAGAACAGTGTTGAGTTTAACATTAAAAAAATATAAATAAAACAAATAAAAAAAACACAAAAAAAGACAAAGAAAGAAAAAAAAATGTCTTTGTGTTATTTTTATTTTTTTATTAAATGAATGAACTTGTCGGACTCTAATAAAATGTCGTTGCAATTTTAAAATGCTTCTATAAATTCATGTCACATACGTTGTCAAGGGGGGTAACTCAGGCTACAGTCAACTTATTCTCGTAGAATAAACACCAGTTGAACGCTTATTTTAAATCAGTTTTGTAAAATTGAACATAGAAAGTTTTATAAAAACACAAATCGCCTAATAGAAATGCCTATATGATTACAAAATTTTAAGTTCTACATATCTGCTATTCTGAAAACTGATTTAGATTAGAGAATAGAATGAATATTCAAGAAGCCTTCATTTCCAACTAGATTTTCTTGGACATTATCTCAAAGAATTTAGAGAAAATCCATTTTTTTATTTAATATTTTGGCAAAATGATTTTTTTAAAGAATGTAACATTTATGATAGTTTTCCTCAGTTAAAATAAATACATTACCACAAATGATTTATCATTACAAATTATTTTACGGCCATGTCATGTTAAAACAGCAGTTCCCATATGATCACCAAAGTTAAGCAATTCCAAACCTGGTTAGTACCTAGATGGGTGACTACTTGGGAATACCAAGTGCTGTAAGCTTGGATGTGCAGATGGTATAATGGCTTGGAATTTGAAATCGGAGAGCCGAGTTCCAATTCCAGTTTGTTATATTCACTTACATGCAAATACCCTTGAGAAAGGTATGAATCCACTTCATCTCCCCCAAGATATAGGTTAATTAGTAGGAATTTTATCAGTAAATTATTATTATCTTCAAAATATTCTTACAATGAAAACATATTTTCTGGCATTAAATAACCTGCAATGGGTTGATACGGTGTGAAAAAGTATCTATTTAAAAATTTAATCTGGAAAAGGGAAGGTCTTCAAGGCAGGCATTTTGGTTGCAACTGAATTTCAGTTGGAGATCAGTATTGCAGCTAATTTACATACTGAGAAGCAACCTTAACCAAAATAAATGTCAATACTTACATGGGCTAAGTAATATCTGTAGGGATATTTTGACCATCTGCCAGGTTCTAAGGGTGAAACCGAAAAGCACAATAAATTTACAAAGGGATATTGAATAGTTCTGTCTGACTCCCCTTCCAAAATCTGATCAAATGACTAAACATCATAAGTTTTTTTTTTTTGAAAGAGCTTCTTGATCAAACCAAGAACTTTTTAGTATTGATTTCAGGATAGGTACAAAAAAAAAAATAGCAGCAGCAGTTCATTGTTTTCCTACCAAAAAGTTGTCATGTGATCTACCTGAAGGAAAAAAAACACCCCACCCTTAATCTGACAATAAGCATAAAATGAAAAGACTTCATTACATATAAAGTCCACTATGTAACTAAATATTCTTTTGCCTCTAAACTTAAAATGTGGTTGGTTAGTAATGGAGAAATTAAAAAAAAAGCAGCATGAATGTAATTAGGTTTTCTTGTTATCATCATCTATACATATAGTTAATTTTTTATGTTTTGTTAATCATGTTCAATGTTTTTTTTTTCTATGAGGCCTATTTTTATGCAGTAGCATGCAGAAAGGAGGGGTAGATGGTGCAACAACCCTGGGCATCCATATCAGGAGGGTATCCAATCAAAGAGTGAAATAAAAATTTACTTTACTGTATATACTCGTGTATCAAAATCATGTTTATTTTAATTACAGCCGTACTTTTTGACTACAGTAAATGGATATATAGTTTGCTCAACAGTGTAGCCAGGGCCAGTAGTGCATATGCTAATTTTATATCTCATGTATGATGCAACCCCCTTAAAATTAGCTTCAAAATTAAGTCTTGAAAAGTCACATGATACACAAGTATATACAGTATATTTAATTTGAATAAAGTGTTTATTTTAGTTTTTACATATTTAAAATGTCTTCCTTTCTCACATTTCTCAGTACTAGGCTTTATAGAAAACAACTTGAGTCTTAGGGACATACAATCAAAAAGCTGGTTCCAGTCGTCACCAAATTTATTTATCTTTCATTTTCCATGTTTGACTTGTTGGGAATACTTGTCTGCGGGCTGTTAACTAGATAAAATGATGAGAACCCAATATTATTCAAAATTTTGTCATTTTCTTCTTGGCAAGCTCATGTGACAAATTTTGGTGGAAAAATGGGAACTGCTGCTGATATTTTGTGGGTACAATAGTAAAAATCCAGTTGCTTGGATAGAAAAAAATAAGAGATGATAAGAAGAAGAAGAAAAAAAAATAAACAAGGCCACTAACACACTAGAGTTATCAAGTGTGAAAGAATATAAGAAAAACATTATTAAGGAGCAAGAACATGGAATTAAAAAGATTGAAAATAATGATTGACATTGCATTTAAATTTTTGAAGATCAAAGTTGGCTGGAAAGATTTTTGCATTTGGTTCATAATTTTTTTATGACGGACAAGAGTTTTGTTTTCAAGTAATGCAAAAATACATTTTTGTTGATTTCCAATTGAAGGTAGATATTTCTTATTACTATAAATGTTATTTTTAGTGGATATACATGGTTGAATTGACATCCTTGTTTTTTTTATTTTTTGAAACAATGAAATTAGCATGAAGAAGTTCTACTAAAGAAAAATGTGTTTCCTGACAGGAATCAAATCTGCATTCCCTTTTTGCTTCAGCAAAATCACTCCTATAGCTGAAGCACTCTTACCAATTAGGCCATGAAAACCATCATGATAAGGTAAGATTTAATTACCTGCTTACAGAAAGCACACCTCTTGTTGGGACTTTTCAAATCTATATCTGGTAGCTTTGTTTTCATAACCAAAACACAGTAATTTGTAAATTATTTTTTTTAAAACCTGACATTATTTATTATAAATGTTATTTTTAATGGGTACACATTTTTGAGTTGATATCTGTTTTTTTTTTTAAATTTTCTTAATGAAATTAACATCAATCAGCCTAGACTGAGAATTCCTACTAGAGAAAAAAAAAGTGTCTCCTGATGGGAATTGAACCAGTAGAAGGCAGATATAAGTGCCATTATTTATTGGGCTTAGTTTGATATGGTACAAACCTATAAGTTTAGGACACAGATCAATCTCACTACTCAGTAGTAATGTTCAACCAAACTATCTCATTAACCATTACACCATGTTGAGGCACCTTTTGATTCACTATATTTAGGTGTCATGATGTTGCTAGATGGTGCACTTTCAGGACTACAAAAAAAAAAAAAGGACAAACCTTCTCTTTCATTTTTGGCTCACACAGAAACAGTATGCAGTAGGTAGCAGATATCCCATCTTTTCTTCTGAGAGAGACTTAGTCACTCAACAAACCAACTTCTTCTATGTGCCATGTCCCTTCAAAATGTTGGCTATCATTGCTCTCCACAATTTCCTGTCCTTTATAGCTCTTAATAAATTTTGCCATCTCTTCCAATCCCTGCTCCACCATCCATTCACTAAAGCTTACCAAGTAGGTCATGTATTGTCTTCCACTGTCCCTCTTGCCTCCAGTCTGTCCTGAGAGTATCAAATTTTCCAAGCCCACTTTCTTCATTATGTGCCCTACAAATTTCAGCTCTCTCTTCTTGATGTTAAGTATAAGTTTCCATTTTGTTTCTACTGTCTCTAGAACTTCATTACTCACATGTTTGGTCCATTGTATTCTCAGCATCCTTCTTTAGAAACACATTTCTGTTGCTTCTAGTCTGTTCTTCATCTGTGAGGAGATTGTCCAACATCCACTGCCATATAGGGGAACTGATATTACAAGACAGTTCAGTACTCTTTTCTTTGTTTCTAACAAAATTTAATTTCAAACAAATGACATGGACATCACACACACTATAGATAAGATTACAAGTATAGAACAATTTAGTAATATTCAAACAAACTAGCTTGTTAAATGTTACTCCTTGTTGGAGATGCTTAAGTAGGTATAGTGTTATATAGGTGCTAGGTAGGTATAGTGTTAGTGATGTCTCTTAACAAAAAGACTTTAGCATTGGAATTTCTATCTTAGGCTTAAGATTGAATTTCTTTTGGACCCAACTACAGTGACCAAATACTGTCAATAATTATTAAGCAAATTTTAAAGTATATTCCTCTCTGTGAGTCGTGTGTGTGTGTGTGCGTGTGTGTGTGTGTGTGTGTGTATTAATGATAATGACTCAGAGTTTTCTTGAATATCAAGTCATACAAAAAAATGTAACATTTAACCTTTACAACATAATAAATTTATTAGACTTATTCCTGGAAAAAAGAATGGGGGTATATATTATGTATAATTTACAATTAATTAAGATAATGATGGGTACTGAGTTTGAATGAGCATATCTGAATACATGAGGGGATAGGGCTATAAGCTTAATAAAAGTTTGGAGTGGGGGGGGGGCAGTCAATAATGAAGTTTACTCACAACCTATCTTGTGGATGATTTTTACCTTGGTTTTCTTGTTCTTTTATATACCATGTCTCTCTAATACATGGGTGATCATGGCTCTACACAACTTCCTATTAATTTTCTTCTTACAAGGTTAATATTTGATATAGAGTAAATGCTAAGGCCAGCAAATCCACAAAAATAATTACAACATTTATGACTAAGCGGATCATCGGAGGTGTGAGTGGCCAAACAGTTAACAACAAGGAAATAGGATCAGCAAACTGAGTTCAAACTCGGGCTGGGGCAATTGATTTGGGAAATGTATGGAGCCACTACTCCCTTTGGGTATAGGCAAATAGTAGAGCAGTTGAAGCCCTTTAACTTGATAAGTTAGTGTGTGGATTACTCTACCTTGTCTGTCAGGATGCTACTAATTTGCACTCTTTCAGGACTATAAAAGGAAAGTCAAAATCATCTTTTTTTCTTTTTGCTCACATAGAAATAGGATGCAGTAGGCTGCAGACATGTCCAGTCTTCCCTTCTAGGAGAGACTTAGTTACCTGGCAAACAGACTATTTAATGTCAAACAAACCATATGGTCAACACACACTACAGTTAAATACATAAATGTTTTTTCTCTTTTTTAAACTACCTGTATATATGTGAATATAATTTTATTACTCTTCTTTGCTGAACTATGTTGTGCTGTATATATATATATATATATATATATATATATATATATATATATATATGTATGTATATGTAAAATTTCTCTGTGTGTTGAATTCTTTTGTTTTAAAAATGTTGGAATCGTCTCTTTGGAAAAAGTTGAAATTATTAATAATTAAAGTTCTCAACTCCTCCTGCTACAAACAGGTAATCAACACCAACCTTGTCTGTAAAAAGTTGTAGCACTCTCTTGCCACAATAGTCTAAATTGCATTTTGGCTAAAAACACAGCTTTGCTACTGAAACTGCAGTCGAACCACTTGGTATGTTTGCAGTACTATGACACACAATATTTGTGCAGGAATAGACAAATGAATTATAAATTAGATTTTTTTAAAGATTAAAATTTTCTTTTCACATATAAAAGTATATAAGGAGCCATTTTTGTTTTCAGATCCTCAGTAAAATAAATTTTCTGTGAATTCACAATCAGTGAAAAAGAAATTTAAAGCTATAATCTTGAGACTAAAAAAATGCAAAAAACAATAACAACAACAAAAAGAAATC